AGCCCTAACTGCAAGACAATAATGTGTACAAACTGATTGAAGACCAACAGCATCTGTAAGTTTTCTCCTGGTTGGTAAGGAGAAATATGTGAGCTCCATTCCTACCAAATAAAATCAGCTGGCATTGATGGTTGTTCTATTATACCTAAAATTGTAAGCTTGGCTTGAAGCACACCATGGAGTTATGTAATCAATGCCACCAACTACTTTCTATATTTATATGAGAAAAATGCCATACTCTGATCCCATGGGAAAGGAAAAGCTGTGTGCCTTTGTTTGGTGCATCCTTTTGAGTCTCCTCCCCAGCTCTCAGCATAGTACATCACTGTAGAACTTCTTACCTATGTGGCCCATGTAGCCCTTTCCCTCCAGATACACCTGATGTTCCAAGCAGAGCATCTCATGACTTCTGCTGACCTCTCCCATAAGAACAGACATTATCTGTACAGCCCAGATTCTTGTGGTCTTGCCTTGGATGACTGACGGAAGTTTCCCATCTGTTTGCTCTCTCAATTTTCAGTTTCTTTCAGTTTCATTCTGTGGGGGCACTACGGCCCAGCAGACTTTTATGAAGGACGTTTGGTAGTTATAACCAACAGTCTAGTGATGCTACACATCAGTGAGGAACTCAGAAACCTTCAGTGACTTCTTATTGCCAAGAATGCTAGACATTCGATATGTCCTATAATATAGCTTTAATTAAAAAAATCAGTTTGATACTTTTCAATCTTTAACATGTTTCCAGCAAATGAAATGTCATTGTTCTTTAAATGAATCCTTTTATCTTCCAAGTGTATAATTTTTATAGTACTTGTACTTCCTAGAAAGTGAAATATCTTACTTTTCATGTGGTTTTCAAGAGAGAGGCCACTTAGCAAGCCAGAGCTCAAATTACCTCAACTCAAGTTTCTAGTGTTTGTTTTGAGGCAGTTTCTGATGTATCCTAGGCAGGCCTTGAACTTGCTGTGTAGCCAAGACTGCCCAGTGACACTTGAAAATGGAAGGATTTTCAGTTGTCCAGATTCTCTTTGGGTAACCATTTGGGGGAAATGGCATACAACCACAATGTTCTTAGTGGGACCACTGAGAACATGTGCTTATTGGAGGTGGACAGTGACAAGACAGTTTTTACAAAACCTAGCAAAGATGTATCAAGTCCTCACTATTCTGTGACAGATCTAGTCCTCTTCCTTATGTTCTGGGGGGGGGGCAAACTTTATAGCCACCAAGCAAGTAAGTAAATTAAAAAAAAAAAAAAAAAAAAAAAAAAAAAAAAAAACATGTGCAACTAGGAAGATTGAGTCCGGGTAGGAATAGAAGACAGAAGAGAGAGAGAGACAGAGAGAGAGAGAGAGAGAGAGAGAGAGAGAGAGAGAGAGAGAGAGAGAACATGAAAGAGGGAGCCATTATTGGTTTGAAGAGAAAATTGAAACCCAAGACAGGTCTAGAGAACTACAAGACTGCCGCCCACTAATAGTTTGAGCTTCCATGGAAAGGTTACCATAAATGCCCTTCCTGGATAGTGAGATCAACAATTAACTTATCCATGGAGCCCTCATCTAATACCTGTTGGAAACAGGAGCAAACACCCATACATAAACACTGAGTCGAACTAGAACCCAGATGCAGATGGAGAGGACAAGTCCAGGTTGCAGAAACACATAGAAACAGCTGACCTGATCAAGGAGGAGCTAATGGGCCCCCAGACTGATAGCTGGGAATCCAGCATGGGACTGACTCAGGCCCCCCTGAATATGAGTCTCAGCCAGAAGGACTGAGCAGTCTAAGGGACCTCAGACAGGGGAACCAGGATGTATCCCTGGTGCACAAAAGGACTTTGCGAACACATCCACCATGGAGGGATACTGCCTTAACCTAGAGACAGGAGAGAAGCCCTAGTCCCTACTTCACATGACCTGTCAGACCTACATGACCCCAACTGGATGGCATTCCCCTACATATGGAATTGGGGTGGGGGAAGGGAGGGGAGGGTGGTTAGGGTGCATGTGAGGGGGCAGAGAGGGTAAAAGGGAGGGAGGTGGGAGGGAGGAAGGGAGGAAGGGAGAGGGAACTGGGATCGACATGTAAAAAATAAACTAAATAAAAAAACAAGCAAACAAAACAAAAACCAGCATCACCTCAAGCTCTGAATGGGCAGTGAGGGAAATTTTCCTCTGACTATGATGTCTGAGATGAGATCTCAGATAATGGTAAGAGCCAAGGACAAGAAGCTCAGAGAAGAAAGGGCAGCTGGGAACGTCATAGAGCTGGGCATAAAGGCAATGTGGAGGTCTGAGACATGCAGGAAACTGTGGCTAGAAGGTGGTGGGCAGATGAACAGTGTGAGAAGAGGTAGCAAAGTCCAACCTTGAAGGTCCAAGGAAACCCAAACAGCAGTGAGTACTTCACTCAAGGGCCGAATGCCAAGAGTAACATGACCTAATTTACAAAGGAAAATGATCTCTATGGGCACTTGGCAGAAAATGCACCAGGGTCAAGAGTGGAAAGAAGAGGAGTTGGGAGACTATGTGAGATAACAGTAGCTTGGCAGAGGGATGAGGGAAGGGAGGAAGAAGCGGACCCATCCACGGTCTCCATCACATTAAGCAGACAAAGCACTGTGAACGTGGCAAGGCTTGGTGTACGTGCCTTTACACATGTTCAAGACGTCAAAACCAGTTTTGCATTCTTAGTTTCTATACTTTTTTCCCCTTCTGCTTTGATTCACATATATTGTGTCTTCCTATGTAGCTTTGATATTCAGAGAAACAGAGTGGGGGGTTTCATATGTGGGATAAACTGTTATTGATACTATAATGTAAAGCCCACCCAATAAATAAAGACCATAGTGGAGTGTCAGAGAGGAAATTATTCAAGCAAATAAATTATTTGAAACAAATGAACAACATCGGTGTCTAAATCTGTGATAAAGCAAAATGGACAAATACAGACGTCTATATTATTTGAGACAAAACCAAATAATAGTCATCATGAATGTGAGCTCAACATAGTGAGTAAGTAAGAATAAAGAGATTCTCCAATAAACATTAGCTGAACTATCATGCCTATGAAGAAGACATGGCAGCCTGTTTTATAACAATTGAAGAATTCTCCAGTTTTGACTTTCTTTGCTCTGAAAGTACAGCCTCTCTCTTTACTCCTTTTTTATATTATTTTCTGATTTGTAAGCTAATCATGTGACTACAAAGGAATGCTTACAATTCTAGAACTTTACACATGACTTGTTTGAGCTTCAGGTAGAGCTCCTAAGAGAAGATGAATCAAGTGTGGGTTCCCATTGTCTCTGCATGTGCCTTCCAGGACACCTAGCATACTGCAAGAACACAAGACCAGTTCTTGCCACTTTCCTCCCCCAACACCAAATGGCCCCTGAACTGTGTGAAACTTGGCCCCAGCCAGTGTGAAAACTGGCTGAAATCTGTATGATAGGCTGTCTGGGTTTGTCAAAGTAGTTGGTGAACTTTGGCCAAACTTTCCAGGCTCCTGGTCCAAGACTTAGTTTGTAATGCAATGTGAAACCACGTGCATTTCAGATGGTGTCAGGTTTCACCTTGGAAATTTGGCCTAGCTTTCTAATCAATCATCACTTTTAGTAACGATGAAAGCCAACACACCTTTCTGGGAAAGAAGACTGAGCTCTGACTGATGACAGCTAGGCTGTGAACCACCCCTGCACTTCCTCTGCCAAAGGAACACTTCACAGAATGGGGACTTTCCCTCTTACCTGGAGAGGCCAAGCTGGGGGACTGTGGTACTGGGTGTAGAAAGACATGATACTCAATTCAGGGAGACCAGCCGTGTGAAATATCACCACCCACAGATCAAAGGGCTCTCATTTTCTCACTTAAGGATACAGGTTCCATTCCATTCCCACCCATGACAGTAATATCATGATGTTCCATCTCCTGGACCACTGATGAGCTTTTAGCTTGGAGGCAGTCATCAACTAGGGTAACTGTCTGGAGAAACTTGCCTGCTGGGAGGCATCACTGTTTCAATACAACGTAGTTGAAGAATAGGAAGGAAAGCAAGCCCAAGCACCTTTACCCAGCTTTAAGGAACACGAGGTAAAATGAATGCTCTAAACTCGTCCATCTGCATCAACTATATATTTTGAAAGAAAATTTCTGTAGTATGCATAAATTCAATAATTAACTAAATACAGTACATTTTACAGAGAGACCTCCACAGTTACTACTTTCAACCTGGATACTTTAAATGTATGTTTCCACCATTAAAAAAAAATCTCTCTTCAACCAAATCCTCGCTTTTGTGCGCAGTGACATGAGAAAATTGAGAGTTATGTCTGAACAGAGCCACTGCATCATTGGAACAGCATGTCTGAACATTTGAGTAATGAGGCCCAGATGTGAACCCAAGGACTTGGCACTACCAAGGCAACAACAAAGCATTTGACATTGGTTATGATGGTCGAAGGGGCCACATCTGAGCAGAGAAGAAACAGCCCTGGGCCCACAGTGCTAAATCATGTTACACCTTTTATCTGCCTCACAAATCTGGGAAAACAAAACAAAACAAAAAATCCAAACAAGTGTTATCCAAACTTACAAGGAAGAATAAATATGTAAGATACAATAAAAATTTTGTATCTATGCTAGAACATATTTATGCAATAGCACGAGAAGTTTCATCAGAGGGAAATGCCAAATTCACGAGAACACCACATGGCCTTTATGTTGCAAAACAACGTGTGCACATCTAAAGGACCCAGCGGTCACTGGAAAGGTGACTGTTGGATGGCTTCAGTAGGTTCATTAACTGTTGAATGCTCGGTTTGTAATCAAGCTATGATAACGCACAAAATACACATATTCATTAGTGAGATATTTCTTGCTTATGGGTGGTTTGTCAATTTTTTCAGCTGTTACTAAATCATGCAGTACACAAAGGATAAGGATAGTTAGATGTATGGAACTGGAAGATCATTTCCCACCCAGGACAACAAGTGCATAACTTACCCGAGGTCCCTGATCACCTTGTTCTCCCTGTAGAAGAACAAAATAAGATGGAAGTTTTATCTACAATCTATACATGATATGTAATACAAAGGTCTAAACACATACCACAGATCATGCCAATATAGATTTCTGGTAAATTAATTTCATTAATGCATTTTCTCACCTTATCACCTTTTGGACCAGGAGGACCCTAGGAGGGAAAAAAAGAAAACATTAATTTTAAAAGGACTTGAATAAACCTACCATGTCAATTGAGAGAAACCATAGTTGCCAACAGGTTTCTTAAAGAACTTTAGTTTCCAAATTCTAATTGTAGTATAATTAGAAAAAGAAAATAGTAGGTGTATGCACGTAAATACATATACATATATCATATATATCAAATGCACTAAAGAAATAACAAATTCAGTATAACCAAGCTAAAGAATCAGCACAGTACTAGCAACATGAGTTCCCGCTCTGATCTATGTCAACAGCCTACACCAATAGCACCTTTAAGGTTTATAATAGTAGAATTTACATGCCTTCATTGTTTAGCTAAAGGAAACCACACAGAATGTGGTTTGTTTGTTCTGGCATGTTTTGTTCAACACTTGTGAAATTCATCTATAATTTTGTATGTCCCTGTAGACTTGTTATTACTGCTTTATAAAATCCTATATGTGACCTATTTGTTCCTCCGGCTGTTGATGGCAAATTTGATTCTAGGCATTGTAAATTGTTGCAATGAACACCCTAATGTTAGTGTTTTGGTGAAACACCAGTGTGCATTTCTGTTGGGTATGTATCTAAGTAAGATGAGAGAATACATTTATTTTTACTGCAGAAGACACTCCCAAGTTGTTTTCCAATGTGGCACCTATAATTTCTATGCTCAGCTTCAGTATGTTCCAGATCATCTCTAATGATTGATATTTTCTCCTTTTTATCTTGTAGGGTATAGTAATTTAACTTTATTTTATAGTTCCCTTGTAATATATTGAACACCCTCTTAATATACATATTCAGTATTTTACATTCTTTCCACAAAGAATTATCAGCTTCTGCCTTTATTTCACTAAATTTTCCTATTGATCTGTTAGAATTTATTATATACTATATGCCACATATATGCATATATGTAAAAATCCTTATGTACTCTGAATATGTTTTGCTACCTTTATTTATCAGAAATATATTTTCCTATGCTCTGTTCTACTTTTACATTCTGTTGAAATCGTCTTTGCTATTTGCTTAGGTTGCAGCAGTGCTGGGGCTTGAACTCGGGGCCAGCTGGGCATTGAGAATCTGTGCAAATACTCTATTACTGAGATACATCTCTAGTCCCTACTGGGGCATCTTAGATGAACGGATACTGCTAATTTTGATAAAAGTCAATATAACATCTTTCTCTTTATTGTTATGCCTGTAGTCAACTAAAGAAATCTATAGCTATTGCACATCATGAGGAGGTCCATATGTTTATTCTACAAGTGACAAGGTTTATTATTGCATCTTTCATATTTGAGTGTGACTTCACTGAGAACTGATTTTACGGGAGGTGAGGTCAGGATGTTTTTTGTCCCCAAGTGGTTATCAAGTTAACGGAGCACTGTTAACTGAAAATGGCATCTTTTCCCTATTGAGGTACTGTGTTACCTTACTCATAAATCAGGTGACCACATGTGTACATAATGTTTCCTTGTAGGAATTTCTTCTTGTTGAGCACCCATTCTTCTAGTAAGAAATACTATTTCTAGAGGCATTAATTATGCTGCCTATTCTAATTATTTACAATGAAGTCATATTTTGTGGTTCAGTATGGCCCGAGGAATTAAAATGTCTGTCTCACAACTATTTCCACCATCTCCATTTGTAGTAGGGCCAAGACATAAGAACAAGCCTGGGCAGGAAGCAAGGGCTCAGGAAGCAAGGGCGAAGGGTCTATCAGAAGAGGCTACACCACTGCCTGCAGAAACAAGGGACTCCTGCTCCAACCAAAATGTCACTTTCTGCCAAGTGTCAGCCACAGAGGACAGCACTGAGGTGCTGTCCTCTCTGCGGTTATCTTTGTGTTCCACTTAAGAAGTCTCTAGCATTCCCACATCACAAAGAGATTCGTCTGCTTCTTCTATAGCAACAGCTTTATCATTGTCTGTTTCATATTTGCATCCAAATTCACTGGAACTGATTTTATGCACCATGCGGCTATCTTTGTTGTGTAGGTAACATGCCTTTACGGTAAGATCTGTGAGGTTAGATCCTGAAACCAACAACAACATTTTGTCTTGTATTTTGCATATTTTCTCATCAACAAGGAACTGTGAGTAGTTGCTACATTTAATCTTCCCTCCAATGCTATGACGAATTATGATAATCCTTTTCGAAAGGCCAAAAATGAAACTCAGATCTTTCCTATGTGAGGCCTCTTAGAAATGAGCTGTCCAGGCTTTTAATTCATTCTGCATGATTTTAAACAGCAATGCCATGGAGCCCAGACAAGGAACGTGATTCTCAGAATCACCCATGTGTCTGGTGCCTGCCATCCACATACGACTTCTCAAATGGCCCCTGCTGTGTATCCTACCATCACAGGTACCAGGGCTAAGACTGTGGGTTCTAAATGAGGGAAATGGAAAGAAAAGGCTGAGCAGGTAGCAGGAGACAGGGCTCAGGTAATACAATCACCTTCATAAAATTGTTTCTCTTCATCCTCCAAGGAATGTTGTCAATGGGTTAGAGGGAAGTTAAGAGAATTATATTTTAACGTTTTTAGTGAATGTTTAATATGAGCATTAATATTTTCAGCAAATAAGGCAGTGAGTAATGAGAAACACCAAAGCTAGGAATATTCATATCTATTTGTTTTAAACACAGATACTAATGTTGTAAAGGTTGGGTGTTAGTTGTGGCAGAGCACTGAAGAGCTAAGGGAAAGAGGAACAAGAGGAACCTACTATCAAAGTCCAAGCAAGGCAGTGGAGGAGAATCCAGCCCCGATTGAAGTAGCCTATCAGCAAGGTTTACTTTGAACAGGCATTTGTTGAAAGTTTGTTCCAAGTCCATCATTGTTCTAACTCATGATTAAAGGATGTGATAGAAGAGGCTGATCAAGGAAAATGTGGTGCCTACCTCCAACAAAGCTAAATAGTGTCTGTCCTTCCTTCCTCCCTTCCTTCCTCCCTCCCTCACTTTTCAGAGCTGAGGACCAAACGCAGGGCCTTATGCTTGCTGGATATGCATTCTATCATTGAGCTAAATCCACAACTCCTTAAATAGTGTATTTCTAAAGTTAAACACTGCATTAAGATTAAGTAACAATGCCTTCTAGAAAACCCAGAAACCTTCAAGTCAGCTGTTATTGTGAATCCTTCTCCAGCTTCCACCCTTGCCTATAAAAGAGTTCCCTCTTTACAGTTTTGTCTGTTTTTCTACTGAGATCTCAGAGGCTGAGCCTCTGATGTCAAAGCTTGTTTGAAATCCCCTTGCAATGGGGAGCACAAATTAATCTTCTAGAAATCCATTGCCTATTGCCCAATCCACATGTGTTGGCTAGAGCCAGAGTGCCCTGTGTGGGATGCCTAATTCATGAACACATGAAGATCTGCACCAAAAACTGACCGGTAAGGAAAGTGGGATTTCTCAACAGACATCATGGCATCCTGCACCTGCCAAGCTCAAAACAGCAACAAAGCCAAGGTCATCTTCTATACACAGCTGTGGCAGCTTGTTGGGACATCTCCCCCATCCCCCACCCCCATCCCCCCACCCCTGGTGCTCCCGGGTGACAGAGGGTGCCTTCTTTCATGGGACTGAAATCCTGCTCTCCTCTCTGAATTGGGCCTCTTCACTGAGAAGATGGGTTCAATCTCACAAACCAAGTGGGCTCTGCCAGAGGACAGTGTTTCTAACTGTACAAGCAATGCTGCTTTCCAAGTCAAAATATCACAGCACAAGGAGTTTTCTGATACCCAGCCTGTAAAGCTCAGATTGGGTCATAAGCTGTTTTTGTCCCATCTTTATAATTGGTTTTAAAGACCCTCATTAGTACTAAGTAAAAGATAAACAGCAATACAAATTAATGGCTCTCATCATTTCACTTATGAAGATTTGTTATGTATATGCACCACATGTGTGCCTGGTGCCTACATTATGGACAGTTGTGAGTTTCCATGTGGATGTGGATGCTAGGAACTGAACCTGAGTCCTTTGAAAGAGGAGCCAAGAAGCTTAACCACTGAGATATCTCTTTAGTCTTAACTCGAGTATTTGTAAATAGCATTTTTCTGTTGCAATTACATTGCCTTTGACAAAATAATATTTCGTATAGTAATAATGACTAGAAGGTAACTAAGCCAAAGTCACCTTTGCTGCTGAAACAAAGCTGTGGTCAATGTAAAAGAAACATGGAGGAGTAGCTGTGGGTCACAGCTTTGTGTTTGGCTTTGGAGGACGTGAGTCACCTGTCTGGTATGTCACATAGGCTCACTTATAAACAGAACTATCATTTCTAAATATTCTTGTATAATCAGCCTTAGTTACATAAACACTGAAAGATGCTAATAAAGTTTGTGTCTATCATTATAGTTAGGTGGGAATACTCTTTAATACATAGGTTCTCAACCTTCCTAACGCTTCCACCCTTTAATATGGTTCCTCATGTTGTGGTGACCCCAATCATAAACTTAGTTCATTGCTACTTCATAACTGTAATTTTGCTACTGTTATGAATAGTAATGTGAATAAACTGATATGCAGGATATTTGACATGCAATCCCCAAAGGGGTCATGACCTATAGGTTGAAAACTACTGCTTAAGAGCATTGTTAGAATGTAACTGACTTATACCAAAATAGTGATAAAAGTCAATAGCCTGTATGGCAAACTAGCCCTTGTTCACATAGCTTTAAAATCATAATTTATAGTCACTGCCTTTCTGTTTGTCTCAGCTCCTTTTAATCTTTTCATTGCTGTAGAATTCTGGGAACGAACAGGCTCCATCCTCATTTACTGCATCAGCTGGTCAGCGCTTCTCCATCTGGGGGGTGGGCATGTTAGTATAATTACAATAAGTGGGATGAAGCTTGCGTTGCGGGACTATGGGGAGAGAGAAAGAAGGAGAGCTAGAGTTGACAGGAGGAGCCACAGTTGGCTCTGTGAGGTTGGCTAGAGATAAAGGGGGAGGCAAGGCCTGTGAAGGGGTTTGGACAG